ATACACATATATATATACATACACACACACAAATATAAATATATATCTCTTTTCTTAAAAGATGGCTGATGTTTTCCGAAGTCCACATTTATAAGATCTTGAAATGTTGCAGGTAGAATTATTCCTTAATATTTCTTATCCATGTCACATTGGTTCCAGAGGTGCCAAAAACTGACAAGAATTTCGAAGAGAGGCTGATTTTTAAGGCTTTTCTGCTGAAATTTGTCAATGCCTACACACCCATTTTCTATGTCGCTTTCTTCAAAGGCCGGTGAGTAATGTAAAAGGTTGTTCAGGGTTTCATCTCATTGCTTATGAGACAGCTGTAGCTGAGCTAAGACCATAGTTGGATGATAAAGTAAATCTAGTTTAAAAACTCCTCAGTATTGACCCAAAAATTCTGCAGCCTCGTGGGATAACTCGGGGATCTGGTACTCTTCTGTTTCGAGTTTGTTAAAGCCATTTTGTTATGATTACTTTGTACATTCAGATATAATTCCTCATCAGGATATTTACCATTCTTAACTTCATATCATAGCAAGTATCATCTCTCTTCTTGCAACCAGCATGAAAGCACAAGGCTAAAATAAATACTACATATGGCGTGTCCTGGCTAATGCAACAGAAATGAGGATTACCTTAGAGGACTTCAGCCAAGATGTGCCTATAATTTTGTAGGACAAACAACTTGCAGTTTTACCGAGCTGTTTACTCAGTAAACAGGACTTACTCTTTAAAACAAAACCAAATATAATTATCTGGTCTAGTGGAAGGTGTCCCTGCTGAGGGCAGGGGTGTTGGAACTGGATGATCTTTAAGGTCCCTTCCAACCCAAACCATTCAATGATTCTGTGATTCTGTTCTCATTCACTTTTTCAGGACTAAACATGAGATGGTCCCCCTCAAATGCATAGAGTTTGAAATAAGTGACTTTAGGAATCAAATATAAAAAGTATAAAATACATCCAAAGTTTATAATTCTAACCATTGTGCCCTAGATTTGTTGGACGTCCAGGAGACTACGTCTACATTTTCCATTCTTTCCGAATGGAAGAGGTAATTTCATTTTCATCCTGTCTGTGATCACGTTGGCTGGGAGCACTATCTGCCCCACCACAGGGATGCCACAGATGTTCTGACTGATGTCTCCTCTGTCCACCCCAGTGTGCTCCAGGCGGTTGCCTGATGGAGTTGTGTATCCAGCTCAGTATTATCATGTTGGGCAAGCAGCTGATTCAGAACAATTTGTTTGAGATTGGCATCCCGTAAGTAGCAACTTTTGTTTGTTTGTTTGTTTGTTTGTTTGAACTATGTGTTGTTTATGATGCACATGGTACATTGTGCATCTGCTGCCCCTTGACGTGAACATCGCTCATATGCTACCTGCAAGACTTTTGCAGTAAGCCTGTGTCTGCTGTATTGCAAATACCTGCATCCTCTCTGTGACTGCATCCAGCTGGGCAGATGTCTTGGGGGGGAAAAAAAAGAAAAAAAAAGCTTTCTTACTGGTCAGTGAGACCTGAAATACTGAACATGTGATTCAATTATAACCATGGTTCAGGATCTGCATATGCCCATCCCTGATATTTATACTGTGGCTCTTGCACAGTTTTTATGAAAGTGGGTATGGAGCTTATTGTGTCTGTTAATGTCAAATCACTGAAAAATGGGCACTGTGACTGGAATACCCTCGAGGTATTTAGAAGATGTGTAGATGTGGTGCTTAGGGACATAGTTAGTGGTGGACCTGGCAGTGTTTGGTTTATGGTTGGACTCAATGATCTTAAAGGTCTTTTCCAACCAGAATGATTCTATGATCCTATGAATGTCATGCTAACTGAGTAATTTCCATTTCTCCCAGAAAAATGAAGAAATTTATACGATACATGAAGTTAAAGCGGCGGCGTTCTTTAGACCATGAAGAGCACATGAAAAAAAAGCAGCGTTATGAAGTGGACTATAACCTGGAGCCTTTTGCTGGACTTACTCCTGAATATATGGAAATGAGTGAGTAAGGTGGAAAGAAGACATTTTAAATCATAATTACTCAGACTAATTGAAAGGAGAGCTGAGGTTTTTGAACTGTAGATTTGGTGGACCATGGATATGAGACATAACTTAATCATTACAGTCTATAGACTTGGGCTGCAGCATGTTTCAGCCAACCACTGGCTGCTTCAGGGGTGATTTGTGCTCTCTGTTCATGAGCCCTCACTTTAGCACTGTATTTTGGATATTTTCTTTCAAGCCATGTGACATGTTGTTGTCAGGTTTCAAATGCAAATGATTAAATGGTATAAAATTGAGATTGTGAGGCACGTTTTATCATCAGTTGCACCCTATGTTGAAAATAAGTTACTTCATTCAGATTTGATAATTCTCAATGTGTATTCTCACAGCAGATTGTTTCTGTTTTATGAAATCTGGACTAAATCCTCTGAGACATGTGGGCCTGTAGACCAGGTTGTACTTGACAGATAATATGTAATTGTTTTTTCAAGTAATGTATTATGTTGAGTGAGTGATATGGAAATTAAGCACTTGGATATCAGCTCTACATTGCTGTGGCTGTATAACTACATTTCTTTTCCTACTTTCAATCTTGGAAAGGCTGAGAACTGTTCTAGATAATGCTGTTTGCTACAGTTATCAGACATTCCTGAAGGATCTGTCTTAAAAGAGCAACTTTATTTAGTATTTTAAGGAATGATGAGGCAAAAATAGTGGTAAAGGGAAATGAAGTATATTAATACCAAAATTAGAATGTCTCCTGACCTTGATGTTCAGAGTAGTTGAAACAGATTGAAATTTAATGGTACAAACTACGAGGTCTTGCTGTCAGTTCCTAAAAATAAGAAAAGATGCAGTTACTGAGATCAGCATTTGGAGGTAACGGAGGAAGACAAAGATGGGGCACAAACAGTACCAGGATGAGTATGACCTCAGTGTGATGTTCTCACCAAACAAAAGCAAATATGTAGGAAATAGGTTGTAGGAAGCAAATTATTCTCAGTAAAGGCAGAGAATCAGTCGTGTTTTCAAAGCCCATATGTTTCTATACTTCAGAAGAGAAAGGTGCCAGTGGGATTAGTGAGGGCTAAAAACCTGCCGGGTGGAACGTGGCAAGTTTCTGTAGAGCTAACACGGTCGCTGCCGTAATCCCACTCTGCCAGGTCACTCCTGTGCCAGCCTTGCCCATGGAAAAATTGTTTTAGGAGCTTCCTCAACCTTCTGGTTACTTTGCCTTGCCTTTTGCAAGAGGGGCAACTAGCCCTCCAGTGCCCAAAAGGAGCAGCGCTCAGGCAAACCATACCTGGCACAGAAAATGTGATTTAGCCTCCCAGCACTTGTTAGAATTGACGGGGATGGGACTGACGAGATGATGCATGCGTTTGAGAAATACTGGCCACAGCCATTGAAATGGTTCCTTTTTCTTTTCAGTTATTCAGTTTGGATTTGTAACTTTGTTCGTCGCGTCCTTCCCGCTGGCGCCTTTGTTCGCTTTGTTGAACAACATCATTGAAATCCGTCTAGATGCCAAAAAATTTGTTACTGAGCTGAGGAGACCGGTAGCAGTCAGAGCAAAGGATATAGGTAAGTGCACACTGCTATTGTTATCCCTGTTGGTTTATTCCTGGATTGATGACAGGATATCATTATGCTGAGTTAGTTTCATTAACAGGAAAATATTTATAGGAAAATTCAAAACGTTAGACTGTGGTTTAACTGTGAACTGTCATATTTTATCAAAGCTTTACTTTTAAAATAGAAAGACCAGAGCTTTAAATTGAGATTAATATTTTATTAAGTAAACAATATCACTTTTCAAATCAAAGTGATCAATACAATAGCAAAATATCTTGCGTGGTTCCGCACATCAACAGTTCTTCTCGGCAATGCAGTTTTCTTGCGGAAGCAAAAATTTCTGCATTTAATAACTCTGAACTGGGCTGGAGAAATACACTTGGGAATGAGAGGAGACTCCAAAGTCTGTGGGTAAATGTGTCCCCTCGTCCCTATTCAGCATGAATGTCTGAAGAGTGGCTCATCAGGGCTGTGACCAGATGGATCTGGTAGCAGCCCTGGATTTCCCCATCAAGACTGAATCTTCCAGTTCGAGTACTTCAACTGAGGAGAAACTGCCAGGCAGGCACTAATGACCAGGAGATTGTTAGAGGAGGCAGGCATGAGGGTGCATGGCCACACACACTAAACCAACACTTCATGTAGACTTCAGAGAAGCCCTTCCATGAGGAATGGGATCTGGAGGTGGGGAAGGGGCAGAGCTGTGGGAGTTCATGCTAATCCAGAGGGGTTGAACTTGAGTCAGTATGGGGTTGGTTGGTGTTATGCTTTGAATGCACAGAGCCCGTGCTGAGGAAACCCGTATCTCTATGGTTTCCAGATGCAAATAGAAAAATCCCATTGAATGGCTTCACTGGAGCTTTGCTTTCTTGAAGCTGAGTAGGATAAATAGTGATCATAGAATCATAGACTGGTTTGGGTTGGAAGGGACCTTAAAGCTCATCAGTTCCAACCCCCCTGCCAGCAGCAGGGACACCTTCCACTAGACCAGGTTGCTCAAAGCCTCATCCGGCCTGGCCTTCAACACTTCCAGGGTGATGAGAAAGTGTAAAAACAGATTCAGATCCCTAAAACTGGTAGACTGGTATGTTCTGCTCCACAAGTGTGGAGGCTCCAGCTCCTTATCTGTAGCTTTCTCACTTTTGTCCTCCTCTTCCTTAAAGCTTTAAGCTTAAAACCTCAAAAAAAAATAGGCGCCTAACCATGGCTTTGGAAGACAGAGTTGTTCTCCCTTTGCTTAAAGGTCATTATATTAATCTCTTATAATTTGTTCTTTTTTTATTTCAAATAAAAAAAGTTCGACTCTAGTTCGGCACAGTCATAAGTACTTCTAACTCTGTTAACTAAAAATGTGATTTATCTAATTTTAATGACTGGAACAGCATTTATGTGTTTGTCTCCTTCCTTAGGAATCTGGTATAATATCCTCAGAGGTATTGGAAAGCTTGCTGTCATAATAAATGTAAGTAATTTGGCATGAATACAATTTTAATTCAATAGGCTGGCTTTTCCATTCTGCTTCATTAGTTTTATTTCAGCATAAATCCCTTAAAATCAAGTGAGAGTAGATGATTTAGAAATTTTCAGAAATATTAGAGAATCCAATGCAGTGTTTATTTTAAAGTTGTGATACTTGTAGCAATAATATCCAATACAGTAAGTGGTCATTGCAGCTTTTTTCCAGAATGTTTTCATAAAGCAGTTTTGCCCTTCAAACAAATAAGATCACAGCTGCTTACTTTTGCTCTTTTGAAATAGTATCACTAAGATGATGTATTTCTTAATTTCAGCACTAAAACCTATTTAGGGTGAGGTAGTCAACTGCCTGTGAATTAGTTCAGCTCATCAGAGCACAGTGTGCCTCCCTTGAAAATCTGCATTGCTCTCACTCAGGTAGCTCTGAAACTCCATGAAAATATTTTTATTTACTTCAACAGTGAACAGCCCAGCCCTTAGAAAATATTAGCATGCCTTAATGTATTCATTTATATACTTATCTAATTTTCTATATGAATAGACATCCACAATGATCATCTCCATGGCACCCCACCTGGGGAGAGATAAAAAAAAGCTGACTGACAAGCTGCAAATGTGTTTGTAGTGCAGCAAAATCGAGGCTGTGTAGAATCAGAATCATAGAATGGGTTGGGTTGGAAGGGACCTTAAAGCTCATCCAGTTCCAACCCCCCTGCCATCAGCAGGGACACCTTCCACTAGACCAGGTTGCTCAAAGCCTCATCCAACCTGGCTTACAGCCATGTCTCCATGGGCCCTCTCAGTTTTTTCACTGTTATCCAGACTGGAAATCCCTTTGCTTTGCCCGAAGTGTTTCTTGTGCTATGGCCAAAACATTCTTTTGGTTATTTGGTATGCTGCCTTAATTTGTCTTTACCATTTCTCCTCTTTTCCTTTGGAAATAATTTCTCTGTTTTCTTCTCTTTTCTTCCATGTATTCTCTCTTCATCATTATCCAGTGTTATTTTTCCCTCGTTGATCTATGTACTATCCCTCTTTATCATAAAATAAGTAAAACATTTTGTGCTGTGTTTGTTCCACATGTACATGAGATTTATGCCAGTGAGAATGTTTCATAATAATGATAAATGAGACAGGCTAACGTTATGAAGAGCTCAGATGAATTGGCTATCTTGCATTTTCTGTATGATGGTTTGAGAAAACCCTTTTAAATAACTGAGTAAAATGTTATTTTTGTGACCATAAAAATAAAACTGGGCTCAGTCTCCTCATCCTTTTATCTTGATGGAGTTAAAAACCACCTGTAGATTTAATGGCCTTTTGCAATGCCATGGGAATTTAAAGAGTCAATTCACTGTCAGCTGTTTGCAGAACAGAAAAAAGCACTTGGAAATCCATCAACTGGACCTTATACAGTGCATCAGGGACAAGCTGTGACCGGGGCATGGGGAAGCAGCACCGTGGTTTGTTTTCCTCTGGTGCTGGGGGGTATGGCCACTTCGTTCTCTGGGGAGTTCCAGTTGTTATCCACGCAGAAATCTGTTGGCGTGGACCTCCTCCATCTAATACTCTGCAACTTGGAAGAGTAAGCAGTAAATACCACCTTGTTGCAGCAGTGAATATGTCACTTTCAGGAGCCTGTGGGGTGCAGTCTCCCTCTGTGTTTTCTGAAGCAGTCCTTGAGTTGCATGAGTTGTTTGGGCAAGACGTACTGGAGGATCTTATAAACTGAAGCACTGCCTGAATACTGCGCTCACTCTTTACTCTTGTGGCTTAGGCATTTGTGATCTCATTCACATCCGACTTCATTCCACGCCTCGTGTACCTGTATATGTACAGTGAGAATGGCACCATGCATGGCTTCGTGAACCATACGCTATCCTCTTTTAATGTCAGCGATTTTCAAGCAGGAACAGCTCCAAACGACCCCATGGATCTTGGCTACGAGGTTCAGATATGCAGGTACTCTCTTGAATGATAACTGATTTGAAGTATTTTCACAGCTGACTAAGAATGGGACAAATTTTTACATTCCTGGGGCAGATCCCTTGTATTTTCAGTACCTTTTTAGCACCCTGGTAGCCTTTTATATCAGGTGCTTCCATTGCCTCGAACTTCTTGGCTTTTATATTAAGCAACCACAACATCTGAATATGAAGTACTGCTTATTTGGAGGAATAGAGATTTAATGTGTTGTTAAATTCAGTATTTGTCCATGCAAAGATTTTTATTATGATGTATTCCCTTTTTCAGGAAAGGAGATAAATAATGATAAACAGCACAATGATGCTATACAGGAACAAAATTATGTTGCTGTGAGGTCATGTTGTTGTATTACATGCTATTGATACAATGACTGTGACTTCACAGAACACCTCTCTTTTTTTGTCCAGTTTCTGTAGGACTTTGTGATGAAACTTAAAAGCATCCTTAGTGTCAGTGTACAGGCGATCTGCACGCCTGTAACCATTTCTACGTGTTATTTTCATTTTTAGAGGAAAATGATTGTTGCTTTTTTCAGCTTATGAAGCAATCTAGGTCAGTGCTGAAACGCATGCTTTGCCTAGGCTTCATTAGATATGCATCATCTTCAAAACAAATGTTTTCATGCTTAGAATTGAGGACCAAAGCCAAATATAACAGTGAAAGCACTTAGACCAGCAAAACTGAAGGGGGACATGGGGGTAAGAACAGGAAGCGGAGAAG